ATAGAAGAGAAGAACAAACCAACAAAACCCAGCAGCACCCCTAACCCACCAAGCATACGTAAAAAATAGAAGGAAAAAAAAATAATACTCACATTAGAAACAGAAATGGTTAAGGGTTTTTTTTTTTTTTTTTTTTTTTTCCACTGGTGGGTGCACTGCTTGCCGGATGTGTGTGCAGTCTGCAAATTTTAAATAAATGGTGGCTATGTGTCCTTTGTTGTCATTTTTATTTTTAGGTTGGAATGGGTGGGGGTGATATGGGTGTTTGGGTTTGTTCTTTTTGCAGCTAAGAAGTCTAGGTGTGCACAGTCGGATGCGGATCTTTCTGGAGTATCTGATGGCGATAGTGATTTTGTGTCGCGACCGCCTAGGGTGGTACATTCCAGGTTTCACCAAGAGCTACCGCAGGAGGATGTCCCGAGTATGAGTTGACTTGAGGAGGATGCGTTGTATCCTAGGGCGAAAATGAGGGGACAAACGGGCGTATTGGTAAACGCCTTGAAGGATCTTAGCTTTCAACAGAAGGCTGACATTCGGGAGCTCGGGTTTGGGGCATTGCTTGAGTTCAATATTGTGGACGTTCCCGCGTCTCTTGCGATGGTTGCTATTTAATTTTGATTCGCAGTCAAAGTCATTTGAGCTTGGGGGGTGGGCGATCATTGGTTGTAGATGAGGGTGATGTCGAGTTGATTTTGGGATTTCCACGGGGTCATGTTAAGATGGTTCCACGGGATAAGCTTAAGTGAGCAACACCCTCAAACATTGGAGGGGCTATTTCAGAAGCGGAAGCACAGGGTGACTGCGGCGGAGATTAGTCAGAGGATGGTGGGTGATGTCGATGGTGGACTTTGGTTTAAGCGTCATTTCCTTGTGTTAGTCTGTCATCCCTGGTTTGTTGTATGTGTAACGGTACTCGAACCAGATGTATTTTCATCATTTTGAAGACGTGGCTAGTGTGCGTGATCTAGACTGGTGCAAGCTTGTGGTCGACACTTTAGTTGAGACGCAGGCTGCGTGGCGTGCTGGTCGGCATAAGTTTTTTCTTGGGCCGGCGGAGTTCATTACGGTATTGTTGCTATTTGGTTTTCGTGTTCTGTGTTTTATTTTATTCGTTTCATCTAATATTGTAATATTTTATCATGTATTTATGTTTGGTGCTTTTTTCTAGTTGCTTTATGTAGATCGGGTTGTGCATGGTGCCCGTGGTGTCCCTCGGTCTATACCTGCTCTTCGTGGGTGGTCGTCACCCTTACTACGTCAGCGTGAGTTCCTTGAGATTCGGAGTGGAGGGTTTGGCCTTGGTGTCATCGAGGCCCCGATTCTGGTTTGTCGTGAGGGGGATGAAGGCGATAATATCCCGCCTGTTGAGTATGGGCCAAGGTATGGGGGGTTTTTTTTTTTTGGATTACTTATGTTTATGTTTTGAAGTGTGCGCAGTTCTTGTGTTGTGAGTGCACCTATCATTCAAAGTGTTTTTTTGGCTTTTTGACTGCCCTTATTCGTTTTGATGTCGTCTTTTTTATTGGGTTAGACATTTGGTGATGTGGTAATTCATGCAACAACGAAGATAGCGAGGGAGGTTTTAGAGTTGGTGAAGCAAGGGCCGGATGGTGCTTTTGGGGGTGTTGTGCTTCGAGGGGTGTTTGATGCCATCAAGTCGCTTCGAGTGGTTTGCTGCAAATCAGCCTGATGCTGGGGTTTGATGATATGCCATCCTTCAGTTTGGGTATTACGCAGGATATAGCAGATCGTGGTTGGGGTGATATTGAGGCTGTGCTGCGTGACTTGATCCCACCAAATACTAGCATTCTTGATGCTGATGTGGTGGGTAGTTTGCCAAATTTGGTTTCATTCGGTTTATGAGGTTGTTTGGACAGATCAGGTGCACTTGCGCCTTATTTTTGTGTGCATGCGAGTTAGTGGTTTCGTTATGTGGGTTTCGATCTCTTTTTTTTTTTCGTTGGTTCTCTTTTGCCTTTTTACGCTCATTGTTGTCGTGGTTTTTGTTTTTTCTGTCTTGATAGGGTGGTCATGGTAATTTCTGTGGTGGCGATGTCTTGGGTGCGGTTGTGGATGGTGTGGTTTCTGGCGGGGGCATTTCGAATGGGGGTGTTTCTGATTGTGCTTTGCCGGCGGTAACTGTTGAACCTACGCGTGCTTCTCATCCTGCCGATACACCTGTGGTTGCGGGGGTGGTGCGTATAATGTGTTCTTCGTAGTTAGTTATTAGTATATGCACATTGCGTGTGGCTCTTAGTTAATCTGTTTCCGTGTTGAGATGTGTTGTGGTTTCATTTTTTGTCTTCCGTAGGGTGGGGGTGCTGCAGTACAAGCTGGGGACTGTGCTGTTCCTGCGCGCGGTGAATCTGCGATGGCTACACCGGTTCAGCATGGGTTGGTATGTGCTGATTTGGGGTGTGTTGCGGGGTGTGCATGAATTGATTGTGGTGTTTACGGCCATTTTGTGTGGTATCCCACGCTTTGTGTGTTTATTGGTGTTGTTTAATTATCTTATTTCTTTGTGCAGCCATCAATACCTGTGGGGGAGGACATTGGGTGTCGGTCTGCCGGGCCTGTGTGTCAAGCACCCTTGAAACCTTGTCGGGGGGTTTCTCGGGCGCCGATTGGTGTTCCTCCGGGGGTGTCGCGCCTAGATTTCAGCGCTTCTGGTTCCACGAGCTCTATGGCTTTGCCCGATTTGGACAACCCGGATGAGGCGGTGATTTGCAACTGGTTGTTGTGTGCTGCAGATGCGAACATGTTAGTTTGTGAATCTATTTTTTGATATGCATATTCCGTTTCGTATGGGTAGTTCATATGTTTGTTTTGTTTATCTTTGTATGTTTTAGGGACGATATTTTGTTCGATGTTAGTGGTAGGGCAGCGCGGTGGGGGACTTGTTGTCGCTTTCACCTGGGTCATTGGTTGAGGTTGCCGTGGTAGATGCGTGGACGTGTCTTTTGAATTGTCGAGAGCGGTATAGGGCCCCTTCTGCCCCTTCCCGTTTTTTTGCATCCACTTTTTCCACGGTTTGTTTCTACTTCTTACCCATATGGTGTGTTATGTTTGCGTGTTTATGTGGTTTGATTTTGCGTGTGTCGTTGTTGTAGCTCCGTACGGTTGTGGATACCTCTCTTGATCTGGATAAGCGGATTGCTATGTTTAAGGACAGTCTCTATGGGGAGTTTGAGATGACGCCTTACCAGCATATTAATGAGGTGGACATGGTATGTATGGTTTTCAGCTTGTTTCAGTTGTTGATCTGCCATTGGTGGAGTCGTACAATTGTGTAGGCTAGTTTTTTCGGTATTTTTCGATTCAAATTTCCAATGCATTAGAATATGTTGGGTCAGTTTATGTCGTTATGTTGTGTTTGTACTTGTTTTTGGTATAGTTTAGCATTTAAAAATGGGAAACTCACTTGTTGTGCCTACTATTGTCCGTGTACTGTTCCAAGCCCCTACTGGATGTTTTGCGTGTACTCATTGTATGTCTTTACCCATTCGTGGTTGGTGTGTGCAGTTTATGTTCCCCATCCTACGGCAAGGCCACTATTTTCTTCTTTGCATTGATTTCCGTAATATCCGGTATGAGATTATTGACAATTCGACGCTTCAGTCCAACAAGCAGTTGAAGTATGGCGATTGTCTGGATGATTTGGTATGGTTTTTGTTGTGACCGAGCTTTTAGTTGCTAATTTTTTTGTTCTTTGTCTTCTTTTTTTATGGTACTCATTTGGTCCTTGGAATTTTGCTGTAGTTGTTCATGCTTATGGAGTTATTTAAATGCATTGATCCGTCGAGGTCTGAGATGTGTGCATTGTTGGATGCGAAGCGCATGCAGATGAGTTGGCGTGATGGCAAGAACAAGATTGACTGTGGCGTGTATGTTATGCGTCATATGGAGAGTTATTTAGGACAGGGAGTTTCTAGATGGAGGTGTGGGCTGACCAAAGGTAACACTGCCCAGCTCAAGAAGCTGAGGTTGAGATACATGAAGGAACTTACAACCTCCGAATTCAATTTACATAAGTGTCGAAATATCTCCAGGGCATATCAGTCTGTGAAGTCTGTCGCAGGGGGTCTGTAGTGTGTCGTTGTTGTGCGGGGTGTATGGAGTTTTAGTTCGTATTTTTTGGCGTTTAGATGGCATCCGGTTTGCAATTTGTAGGCCTGTTGGTGTTATTATTTATAATGGTGGTAGTTTTTTGCGAAGTGTAATTACTTTTGGTGCATGCCGGAACTGGTAGCTGCATTTTACTTATGGGTATTATTATGTTAATTTTTATGGTAGTTTGTTTTTATTATTATTATTTTTTTGGCTGGTGCAGTGTGCAGGGTGTGCACAACGGGTCCCGTCCGTGTGCATTTAGTCGACCTAACAATTCATAAAATTGCATGCGTCACTGGTAGTTTCCATGGGTAGTCTTATATGTAAATGGAATAAATTAGTTTCCATGGGTACACTTTAAATTAGGGTAGTTTAATTTGATTGTGGGGGGTTTATTGTTTATTCAATGAGTGCACATTTGCGTTAAATACTGTGCGTTCCTCAATACATTTCAAACATGGTTAAAACTTAATGAGTTTCACTGCTGTAAGTAGTGACTCGGGGGTGGGTAGCGTTTTTGGCCAATTTAAAGAAAACTTTGTGTGCGCAACGATGGTAGACGGTGTGCATAGCTGCGGTCCTTAGTTATTTTGACTATCCTGGGTGGGTGTGCAATAATGGTATAGGGTGTGCATATCTATGAGTCTCGTGTACTTGACTAAGCTGGGGATGCAAGTTGATATTAGATGGTGTGCATAAGAAAACAAATAAAGTAGTTGTATATTGCCATACATGGCTATTAATAAAATATGTGGGTGCGCAAAGATGGTAAACAGTGTGCATATCTGAACAAACTAACTACTAACAATGGGTCTAAATATGAAATTTGACTAGTATTTAATTGAAATTTAAAATGAGGCTGCATTCGTAGTGATGTAAACCATGACGGGCTACTCGTCTGGTAGGGGTTTTCTTTCTGGGCAATTCCTGCTGTCGTGGCCCGGCCGGTCGCAAGTAGCGCATGTCCTCACCTTTTTCTTGTGTTTTTCGGTTGCTTTCTCTTTGTTGCTCTTTAATCTTTTCCCACTACCTTTGTTCTTTGCAACGCTTGGGGGTTTGATTTGGATCTCGGCCGGTGCAGTGGTGTTTAGTATTGATTCAATCACTGATTGTGGGGTGGTGCTTGCTTTGGTTTGTTGTCTGGCGCTTTGTAGCCTCCCTTTAAGTTCTTGCATTGTTGATAACATTATATCCATTTCGTTTGGGCATCCATTAGCCAATCCCATGCAGTTGTAGAATTCATTCCATAGTTGGTTGGCAATTGTTCGTAATTCATTCCCACCCTGTGTGGTACTGGATGCTTTCCACACTACATTGTACATTGGCTGTGCACACGCATTCTTAGTCCAACGGGGAACAATATAGCATCCTGGTATTTCTTCCACGCCTTCGTTCTTGAACACGGCTAACACATGCTTACATAATAGTCCTACTCTGTTGAATTTGTTACAATTGCATTGTGTTCTTTTAGTAGATTCTTCGTGCGTTACCTCAAATATTTGTTCCCCAGTGTCATGAACAGTGTACTTGGAACCCCCGTCGACATTTGTCTTGCAGGTGATTTTGCATGTGAAGCTTCCTTCCCATATTTCTTCCTGAAAGTCGTAGAATATGTTTTTGGTGTACGTTGCAGCGGCTTGGCGTTCTATGGCCAATGGGGTTTTAGTTTCAGGGAATGAACTTTCGCCCTCTGCGTTTAGCTGTTTTTGCTTGTACCTTTGTTCTCCGATGGCACGGTTGTATTGCATTATGAACTCTACCAAGCTGTTGTGGTGGTTGGTGAATTTGCCAAAATAACTGTTCTCTGATTCTGACCGTGATGTTGTTTTGAGTAGTCCGCCCATGAATATGTCTTGAAAATATGCAGGTATCCATGATGCACGGGCTTTGTACATTTGATCGAACCACCGGTGGTGGACAAGGTTGTACTCCTGCATTACCTCTGCCCATTTCAATTCGAATGCAGTTGCACTTAAAGTTTCATCCCATACTGTATTGTTCAGTGCCTTCCTGAAGTCCATGTTTTTTGCTAGTGCATTCCCTACCTTGTCCCCCACTTTTTCCATTATGTGCCACATACAGAATCGGTGCCTTGTTTCCGGCATAATGTTAGGTATTGCGACCTTTAATGCAGGGTCTTGATCTGTAATAACACAGCTTGGTGTATATCCCATCGCGGTTTTGAAGTTTTTTAGTAGCCACTCGTAGGAGTCAATGTCCTCTCTTGCAATGAGGCCTGCTCCGAATGTAATGCTCCGTTTATGGTTGTCGACTCCTGTAAACGGTACAAATACGAGCTTGTATCTGCATGGTTTATGTTGTAAAGTAATTAGTGCACACACATATAATAGTAAAAACAGCTTTGCAGGCAGGGAATTGTGCAAAACCACTCTGCCATGCACACAGGGTTTCAAACAAGTGCACACCACTCCTTGTACCCGGTTTAACAATTATTCCCAAGCACCCCTATTGTTAGTGTTATCAATAGTACCTCATGCTTATCACCCATGCAATCTGTATGTGCGCCGACTACCATGCTCTAGTCAAATGGATATTAATTTTAATTATAAGTCAAACGCATTCAATTCTGCTGTATAGATCCCTATGCATACAGTTTTACGAGGGCATGCACACAAACATTTTTATTAAAGTAAATTAATTTAATCGGTGTGTTATGTACCTGTTTGTGCTGTAGGTTGCGTCGAATGACATCACATCGCCAAAACATGCAAAATTTTTCCGGGATATTGTGTCTGCCCAAAAAAGCCTGCATAGCTCTCTGTCTTCGTTGAGATCAAAATCAAAGTAGAAGTCGGGTTCCATCTCTTTGTTTTTGTACATGTCCTCTACTACCATCTGTGCATCTGCTCCAGCAATATATGCCAACAAGTCCCTTCTAAAATTGCAGAAATCGGTGGATGTTGCTCCTATATCGGAAAAACTTCCAACCATTTCCTTGTATAACCTCCATGATTTTGTGGAACCAATGTTTGCCCTTGCACAGTTTGCTACGAATATCTTGTGTCCAATATCTAGCTTCCTATTTATTTTAAGAAATGGCCTACCAATGTCAGAGCATAGGCAGTGTGTGTGCCATAGCTCAAGTGCATGTATTTTGTAGCTACCGCTTTTGCGCCTTGTGAACCCTATTCGGGCGTTACAACCAACACGAGTTGATAGCCGACGCCTTTTCTTCGGTGAGGCGGTGGTTCCTTTGTCGCTACTACTCATTTTCTTGGGCTTGTATCCTTCCCGTGAACATAAAATATATTTTAAGTGAACTGCCCCTGCCCTGTTCCTTCGCTTCGTCCCGTGTCGGATATCGAATCCGGCGATTATTGCGTATGCCCCATAGAAGTCTACTCCGTTTTCTAGTGTTGCAAATTCTTGCCCAATATATGGGGTGTTTTCGCTGTTGCATTTAGGTAGCCACTGTTTTGTGCCATCGGGTAATACGACCATGTTGCACTCTGTTGCTTCGTCTCCATTGTGTTGTGCCCCTATAAATCAAAAATGGGATTTTTTGTGAAATAATATAACACTTGTATATCAAGGGCAGCACTGTTAATACTATGTACAATATAAGTGGAAAAAATATGTGTATGCACATGTGTCCAAACTGCAAATTCGCATGGTTCACCAAATTTCAGTTCACCAAATTCGAATGCCTACCTCACCACATCATGCGGATTATCATTTATTATAACACCCATTAAGTAGCACGCCATGCAGCATAATTTCTGCAATTTATGCTTTTCTTTTTTACTAGGTAAATAATGAAGAACACACACAGCGTGCTTTACCAGTGTACGTACCTGGGTCCAAAGCTTCCATAGAATCCGGTATGGCGTCGTATTGAATGGGGGCTGATCTGTCGTCCGTGGTCGGTCGTAGTTTCGTCCGTTCGTAATTGCTTGAATTTTCGGCCGGTATGGCGTCGTAGTTTAGTCCGTTCGTACAGAGGTTTTCCGGTGGCAGTGTTGGGTTGTCTTCAGATCCTACGCACTTTAAACTTCCTTTTTCGTATCGTAGCATGCCAGTCTATTCTATTCCGTTTCTGATTAGTATGCTGCCGGTTAAGAGGGGTGTGCATTCTCTATGTTACCCTTCTCATAAATAATTGGTGATCCGTGTGTTAGTAAGCTGCATTCATCTTGACCGTTGATCTAATCACATCTTGTGGCTAGAATATGTCCACACATTTGTATTTTAAGGGGGTTTGTATTGGAATGCATCCCTATATATATATATATATATATATAATGGATTTAATTCCCCGGGGGTAGCCCGAATTATTAAACCCGGATAAGTATACGTACGAAATAAATAATACGATGCAGAGATATAATAAGGTCGCAGGGACCGTATATTGTATTAATTATCGCTAATAAGCTATTACAAGGCTTGATTAGGACAATAAGGCTAGAAGATAGCAATTTAGGAATCTGTTGTGTTGTGTAATGATCAGGTCCCTTGTTAGGACAAGAGGGAGTCCTTTTATATCAGCTCAAACTCCCCAATCGTACCCCTAGAATCGGGGTTAGTTGGATCGGCCCGCCTTGACCGCGCTCCCCCGGTACCGAGTTCAAGGCGGGCCAACTCGGCATGGCCGAGCTACCGAGCTTGGCCTAGCCGAGTCCAGCCGACTCGGCAGGGCCGAGTTGCCGAGTCCACCATGGACCGACCCGGCAGTGGCCGAGTCCATGGTGGTGGGCTCGGGTGTACCGAGCCCACCCGTGGCCGGACTCGGCCCAAGGCCGAGATGCCTTGGGCCGACTCGGCCACGGCCCACTTGACTGGGCCGAGGGGCTTCTCGGGTCCGTCTCTTCGGGTCGGTTCATTCCGGGTCCAATATATCCATCACGAGTCCCCCACTCTCTTCGTTGTGATAAGTCGACAACGATAGAGAGTAGACACCTTGCGAGCCGACTCCTGTGCGCTTGTCCCGAGTTGAAAATTGGCCGACCTCGTCCAGGTAAAATTCTTGTTGCGGATAGAATTCTCCTCCGAAAAATCCTCCTCAGATATAGTAGAATCCCACTCAAAATGCAACTCCATCCCCATAAAATCTTGAGAATCCCCCTTATTATTCCCATCAAATCTACTTCCCATCCCCATCATCTTTTTCCTTTTCCCAATGCACCTTTCCAAATTTTGAATTTTTGGTCAACTCTTCCTCTTCCCCCTCTTTGGCCGACTTTGGTGTGATTCCATCGCAATCGGGACTTCTTCTCTTCCGCAAGAACACTAACAAGTCTTGGACTCCCTGGCATCGTGTATGAGACTTTGATTTCTGAGTTCACTTTTGGGCGAGCTCATGAGGTAGCCCTTCTTGGGCCGAGGTGCCTTGTGTCGAGGCGTCTTGGGCAAAGATTCGTTAATGAAGGAGAGTAAACACGAGTCGCACTCCATGGGTCCGAGACCCACATGGCCGACCCCAACTTGGCCGACCCCAACGTGGCCGACCCCAACGTGACCGACCCCAGCGTGGCCGACCCCAACTTGGCCGACCCCAACGTGGCCGACCCCAACCTCAAGAATTAGACTTGATAGCGGCTTGATTAGCGTCATCCCTTCTTTATCATATGGGTTCCGTCTTCCGCTCCACCACTTTGTTCTTTTCCTAATATGCCTCTCCCCCCCGGAGGTGGGCACATTTGTGTCTCTCCTCCGGGAGGTGGGCACATTTTATGTCTTCCCTCCGGGAGGTGGGCATATTTTATAGCCCCCTCCGGTAGGTGTGTCCTTTTGTACCTTGCTTCGATAAGCATGCTTCCCCTCTGGGAGGTACTTCCTTTTGTCTTTGCTTTGTTTAACATGTTCCCCCTCCCGGAGGTGGGCACCTTTTATGTCTCCCCACCGGAAGATACTTCCTTTTGTCTTTGCTTCGTTAAACATGCTTCCCCTCCCGGAGATGGGCACATTTTATGTTTCCCCTCTGGGAGGTGGCACATTGTATTGACTTGGTGTTTTGAATGGACAATAAGCTCTCCCTTATTGATTCATTTTTTTTTTTTAGCACAATGCCTTATGTTAACCGTTTGAGCCTAGTCCCCCTGGACTAAGCCGCCGGGCATCTCCGCCGGGGTGGGTACGCGAGGTCGGACCTCGTGCCCCCTTAGGGTACGTTAGCCGCTTGAGCCTAGTCCTACCGGACTAAGCCACCGGGCTCTTCCGTCGGGGTTGGTACGCGAGGTCGGACCTCGTGCCCCCTTAGGGTACGTTAGCCGCTTGAGCCTAGTCCTACCGGACTAAGCCACCAGGCTCTTCCGTCGGGGTTGGTACGCGAGGTCGGACCTCGTGCCCCCTTAGGGTGCGCTACCCGCATGAGCTAAGTCCTGCCGGACTAAGTCATCGGACTCTCCCGTCGGGGTTGGTACGCGAGGTCGGACCTCGTGCCCTCTTAGGGTGCACAAGCCGCTTGGGCCGAGTCCTGCCGGACTAAGCTACCGAGCTCTTCCGTCGGGGTTGGTACGCGAGGTCGGACCTCGTGCCCCCTTAGGGTACGCTACCCGCATGAGCCATGTCCTGTCGGACTAAGCCATCGGACTCTCCCGTCGGGGTTGGTACGCGAGGTCGAACCTCGTGCCCCCTTAGGGTGCGCAAGCCGCTTGGGCCGTGTCCTGCCGGACTAAGCCACCGAGCTCTTCCGTCGGGGTTGGTACGCGAGGTCGGACCTCGTGCCCCCTTAGGGTACGCTACCCGCATGAGCCAAGTCCTGCCGGACTAAGACATCGGGCTCTCCCGTCGGGGTTGGTACGCGAGGTCGGACCTCGTGCCCCCTTAGGGTACGCTTGGGGAGGTCGGGTGAGTACTCGATTCTTACAACATCGTTGGAGGGGACGCTCCACCTCTTAAAACGTTGTAGGATGAGACGTCCCACCTCTTGGAAGATCATTGGAGAGGATGGATCACCTCTTGCCACATCTTTGGAGGAGATGCTCCACCTCTTAAAACATCGTTGGGGGAGACGTTCCCCCTCTTGAAACATCATTGGAGAGGACGGACAACCTCTTGCAACATCTTTGGAGGGAATGCTCCACCTCTAAAAACATCATTACAGGGGACGGACCCCCCGGTGGACCGGGCAGGTCCCTTTGTGGACCTCCTCTATGACTGACACCTAATGTAGCAAGGTGTCATTGGAGGACTTCTTGTAGTGTATATCACGGGGGACTATGTAGGTTCTCCCCACCGGCTTGGCTTCGACCTTGTCAAGGGGCAAGCAACCCATAACATGTTCTTCCGTTAGGTAGTGAGTGGGGCGTCCCCCATGTACTACCGTTAGGTAAATGACAAGGTCGGGGGCGGCACGCACGACCGCAACCATGGGTTAATAAGAACATATGTCAATCTTTGAGCTCCTGGGGTTCGGGGGAGCCGGGTGCTCGACCTAACACGCCCCCTTGGGAGGGGCGGGGTAAATGTAGGCACCTCTCGAGAAACGTCGGGGCCAAGCAAGAGGGCTCGGACACCTCTTTGGAGCCCCTCAACGGGTTGGGTCGACAAGGTGGTAGCTTGTTGGGGCGCGACCATCCCCTCTGGGAGCTCGTTCATTCGCTTACGGAGCTGCTCGACCTCGTCACGATTGGTGCTTGGAGCTCGACCATTTGTTTCCCGACCTCTCATCTCGGGAGGCCTACTCGCGTCGCGGCGGAGCTCGGGGCCTGCGGCTTGGCGACCTTCGGGGACATGATTCCTTCGCTTGTAGTGCGTTAGGGGTTGGCCTTGGGCCCAACCTATCTCGGGCCGACACGCGCATGCCCAGCCTCTTAAAGGCGGGCCTAACATGGGTCGACCTCCCTCTATCACCCTCTCAATGGTGATCTTGGCGGATGTCACCCCCTCCCCGCGTGTCCGATGGTTGGGGTGAGTTGACATCCTCTTCGATTTGAGTGTTGAGTGCCCGAGGAAGCCGGGTGCTTGGACCGGTGCGCCCCTTGAGGGAGGTGGAGGCGGGGTCGGCATCCTTTGTGTGGCCTCCAGACTGTCGTGCGCACCTCCTTGGGGACCCTCTGTGAGGTGAGCCAAAGTCGTAGAGGATTGCTAAAGGGTAACCGCCCCCTCCTGTAGCGGGGCGAGATTTGGAGGAGGGGCGATAAAAGATGGCACCCCAACGCTGCGATGGTTGGTGAGGTGATCTCTCAAGTCCCCGACCTAGTGGAGGCGGCCGGTTGGAGGCTGGGGGGCCCGTTGGGGCCGTTCTCTGTTGCGGCGAGCTGGGTGCCACGGGAACCGTTGGTGTGGTCGAGAGTTGGATCTTGACCTTATCATGGTAGTTGGTCGCGGTGGATAGAGCACCTGTTTGGTAAGCGGGAGGTCTTGAGTTCAGCTCTCAACAAGAGCACCAATGATGGATTTAATTCCCCGGGGGTAGCCCGAATTATTAAACCCGGATAAGTATACGTACGAAATAAATAATACAACGCAGAGATATAATAAGGTCGTAGGGACCGTATATT